ATCTGCAAACACTCAAACCAAGCTCTGCCTCCGCCAAGCCCTCAGCCTGCCGACAGCCTCTGGACCCTCAAGGTCGCCCCCCTCAGCCGTTAAGCTCTAACTCCAGAACAGTGAACCCGCTCGTGACCAGTCCCGGCTCAGATTAAACCCCCTGGATCTGTTTATTCTCTGTGCAGAAACATCTCCTAATAAACCTTTGAACTTTTCTCCTGTTTCCGTGTGTTCTGAATGTGGGTTAGGAACCTTAAGCCAAACATGACAATATTGACATGAACATAGCCTATTGAACAAAAAATAGCTTTTTTTAAAAAACAAAGTATTAATAGTTATTAATAAACTTTTATTGTATTAATAAAGTTAATTAAGATAAATACATAACTGAAAGTGCATGGATTATAAACCGAATGTGCATTACTGTGCTGCTCTATGATCCAACCCATCACTGCTTTCAAATAGTAAAATAAGAAAAAAACAAAAATCAAATCTGTTGTATTCTCTCTCATGGCTCTTATCTGCATTTTTCCCTGAGCCCATTCCACTGAAAAATATTAATAAATAAAATAAAATAGAAAAATCTATGGTACAAAGACAAAACAATACTTCCTTCAAAGAAAAATCACGTCTGGTAAAAAGAAATAAAAAAAAGATTGTGATGAATCAGACCCAGAATTCAGCCAAAGGTTCTTTAAAAAAGGAATTTATTAAACAAAAAGCAGAGCAATACCGGCCTGTGGGCCGGTTCTAATGGTTATTACATATCATCATGGATAAACAATTCTCGGGCCGTATCCAGCCCATTGCAAGCTAATTTATGTTGTGGCTGCATATTTATTCAGAAGTAACAAACAATGAAGGGTCAAATATCCGATGCTACACTAGAAAAACAATCTAGAAACAAGTAAAAATGTCTTAAATTAAGTGTATTTACCATAATTTGAGTAGGTAAATTAGATAGTTTGCCAATGGAATTAATAATTTTACTCTTAAAATAAGATAATTAGATAATATGCACTTAAAATAAGACAATATGATTGTGTTTTCTTATTTTAAGTGTAAATTGTCTCGTTCCATTGGCAAAATGTCTCTTTTATCTCCTAAATCCAAGAAAAAAGGCACTTATTTTAAGAAAAAAAAGACTTTTCTAGATTTAGATTTTTTCCAGTGTATGGGCTGGGTTTCCTTAGGTAGGGACATTTTAACCAGTCTGACTGGATGATCTGATTGAATTGTGTCTGCAAAGTTCCTTGATTTTACCTTGTTTGAATTAATGCTACACTGCAAAAAACTGAAATCTAAATAAGTGCATTTTTTCTTGAACTGAGAAGGTAAGTGAGACACCTTTTCAAAGGAACAAGACAATTTGCCTTTAAAGTCTTATTTTAAGTGCAAAATATCTAATGATCTTATTTTAACAGTAAAAATATTCATTCCATTTGGAGATCATCTTATTTATCTACTGAGATTAAGGGTAAATACAGTTAATTTAAGAAATTTTAACTTATTTTTAGTTTTTGTAGTGTTTATAAATAAACTGCATTGAACTGAATAAAGGAGGACCATAGATGGAACCAGGTGGAACACCACAGGTCAAAGGAATGTGGTAACGAAGAGGACTGTGATTGCAAAGGTCAGTAAAAAGTTACAGGACTTTGCAGGAATGCCCTCTATCAACAAATGAGAGAAGTTTGATAAAAGTAGAGATTTTAGAGTTTTCTACCCATGCATATTCATCTATTCATGGAATATCATACACTGGGTGACAGAGTAACACCGAAACCCCAAATTCTTCGCAACCATCCCGGTCCGTCCCACTCCAGATCGCCTGCGCAAAGCCTACAGCCGTCGCTGTTCCTCCCATCTTGCTCCACTCCGACTCCCTTGGAGCTCGAGGAGAGCATGGGCAATATTATTATTAACTCTCAAAATCATTCTAACAAATCCCAAGGCATTTGGAGGAAGGATATATAGTCTTTCCAATGAGGCCTGGGGTCTTCCCTAGGGTCTTCTCCTATGAAATGCTCCAGAAAACCTCCAGAGGCGCCTTCAAGCCATCCTAATCAGATGCTAAACCGTAGCTATTCAAAATTTCCCCACTTTCCTTGATGGGTCCTTAGCTGGTCCATTACAATTTCTTTTTAAGCATTAATCTTTGTACTAAAATTTTTTTTTCTGACATGATTTGTGGACATTAAAAACCTTTATAGAGTTACAGTTTTTGATCACTTGCATACCCTTTACAAATGGAGTCCCCCCCCCGTCCCTCAGTGAGGTCTAGAAGCACAAGATCTATATCCAGTCATTCAGCAAAGATCCTGCTACATGGCTGTACATCTGATTTTGACATTTGACCAATTAGATGAACCCTTGAATGATGTATTACTTACTGTACATTAAGTTGAAAAAAAAAAGTTAGCAAGAAAAAAAGGTAAAAAGCTAATTGAAAAGATAAAAAGTTAATATCGTAGTTAACAATTATATTTAGCTCTTTAAACTAAAGAAAGTAAGTGCCAGTATCAGCATTAATGCCTCTAAGGTTATGTTTTACCAAAAAAAAAATGTGTTTCTTTAGCTCTCATTATTTTTTCGTGAATTATTAATATTACATTCTTTTTTTATGTTACAAAGGTAATCAGGTCTTTCCCTGGATTTCAGAAACACATTTGGCTTGAAATTTAGGTTTTCATATTATTTAAGTGAGTCCCCTATAAAGGGTTAAGCGTCAACTCCTGGTCAGACCCTGTAATTCAGTGAAAGGATGGAGTCAGAGTCAAAAAATATGCACATCCAGGAAGGGAGGGGGTCCCTCCAGTGGCTGGAAGTTGGAGGGGATTTTGCTGGGAGCTGCAGGGAAGTGGGTTGCCATTCGGCTGCCTTTTGACTGGGAAGGGCCATTTTGAACGGCTGCTATTACTTTCATCGTGGAGATATAATGGAAAGGTTGGAACTCTGGTTCATATGTTATATGAGTGTGACAAAACTAAAGACATGTGGAATACGATAATTTTGTTTGTGATTAAGGTTTTTGTCACACATTTGCATTATGCCTGTTAGGATTACTTTCAGATAGTATTAAAATGTCAAAACATCAGAAATCTTGGTGCTGTTTAGATATAACAACAGGGTGCAGGATAACTTTACGCCACTGGAAATCTCCCACTCAGTCCACATTTAAGGAGTGGATACAGGTTCTAAGTTCAATGGCCAGCTACTAACGGGTCACCTATAGGGTCGGCTGGGAGGGAAGAGGGGTGGGGGCCATGTCTCGTATATATTTTATTAGAGGAACAGGATTGCTATAATAGACTTTCTAAGGTGTTTTAGTGTTGTCTTGTTTAGTGATTTATGTTACAT